AAAAGAAGAGAAAAGTTCGTCGCAAAATTTGGCGCCCAACGTGGGGCTCGAACCCACGACCCTGAGATTAAGAGTCTCATGCTCTACCGACTGAGCTAGCCGGGCAGGTGGTATAATAAAATGGTCCAAATCGCATTACTGTCCAAATAATGCATTACAGAAATTGTATTACAAAATTACTATTATGTGTGTGTGTATAAATATAAATAATACATGTATACACATACATATAAATTGTGTATAATTTACATAATTCGTTGTTATAAGTTGCGTATATAATAAAATATTCGTGGCGTTCGACGAAACATGCCTTTTCACGCTTACACGATGGAATAGAAGTGTGAAACAAAATGAGAAACTTGTTAAAAAAAAACTCGGATTAGCGACTCGACGCGTAAGTAATTTTCAACTGCAAGTTCTCGTTGTAGAATTAGGCGGCTCGGCACGCTTTTATTTACACATGAGTTTTTCGTTGTACTTTTTCAAATTTATATATTGTGATAGCTTCAAAAAGTGCATTTTTGCACATCGTGTTTAAAATCCGAAACAGAAATAAGTTCGATTCTTGTAATATTTTGTTAAAGTCAATTTTAGTTATTACATTGGTGCTCAGCCCTTTTTGAATACCCCCGTTAGAACAATGCCTCTACAAAATGACCAACTTTCTGTAGAATCATATTGAGGTATCATAGACACTCACCTTGCCTCGAGCTGTAAGCCATCAGAAAATCTGCGTGTCAGTTTCAGTTTGTCTTAGAGTGCGGGGAGATATTTTAATACCACTGTCGGCTGCTTCCCCTCTGCAAGCCTAAACAAAAAGCCAGACGGAGTAAGCGAGCTGGATAAAACCAAGCGAAAATATATCGGAACATGTCAATAATTTAAAAATAGAACGGAACTGGAAAATGTTGTTTTACCTGGATGAAGAACAGCTTAGGCTTGCCCGCGAGCGATGTGCATTTATCAGCGATGAAGGGCTTCCAAAGCACGTCGACTTGGTAAATGGCGTTCTTCGCGCATATCATATCGTGCTCGGTCTCATGAGTTAGCACAATGATGCAGAGACAGTCATTATCCGTATGATCGAGCTTGCTCACTGTAATAATCAAACATTCGAATTTTAATTGCAATACCAGTCTTAGGGGCGTAGCTCTCAAGGTTCCCTCGACAACTCTAGTAGCACAATATATTGACGCAATATTGGAAAATAATGTAAGAGCCTAGTATTCCGAATATTGGTCCAATATTGTAAGATGGACGCCTTCTCTTATTTAGCCAATATGTCTATTTAACAATACTGGTTTAATATTGTCTCAATATTAGACCAATATTCTTATTACATTGTTAATTATTGGCCAATGCGCTTTCAATATAAATCTAATATTGTATAATTATTATTGTGCAATATTTATATTTATTCCATGGCCAGTATTGGCTTTACTTTTCACTTTTCGTTTGGCAATATCGACCAGTGCATTTCTAGTATAACCAACATTGGACCAATGTTTAGTCTGAAACGATTGCCTAATCGTGTTTCCCCGCGGACTGTGCTCGCCGGTGGCAGGGTTCGAGGGATTAGGTGAAAGCACTCGAAGACTGACTTACGGTGAAATAAAGACAAAAGAAACTATATTTAAATCAAGAAAACGTGGATACAATATATATATATACTTAATCTAAGAACGGTCGCGGGCGGACGGACGGACGGACGGACGCGGCGCGAGATGAAATGAGAATATGTACAGTGTGACGCGCGGTGAAATGAGATGAAAATAAAACGTGGGTGACGGTTCGCGGCGCGGTGAACGCGGAGGGTGATGACGGTGGATGACGGTTCGCGGCGCGGTGAACGCGAAATGTGATGACGGTGGATGATGGTTCGCGGCGCGGGAATCGGTCGCGGGTGGCGCGATGCCTAGACGGGAATCGGCTGGCTACTGCGGGTGCCGAGAAAACTCGGCGGAAGCGGAGTACCCTCCACTTCCCTGGTCCCTGTGAGCCGTTGGCCGATCTACGGTCAGGTAGCTGTGCCCGGGCCCGAGAATCCTCGGTCGAGGTGGAGAGCGCTCCACCCCGTGTGTGTCCGGGTACGGTGTGCAGGTAAGCACGCGTGCGCAGTGTCGAGAAAACTCGACCGTGCCGGAGTACTCTCCAACGCGGGTTTCCCACTGCTTAGCGTGCGACAGGAGTCAGGTCTTGAGACTTGCGGATGAGCGGCTGTTGCTCGGAAGCTCGTCTCCAAAGGAGTGATTTTTAGCGCTCGGTTTCCCCTTTTTATAGGGGCTAATTGACACGCTTTATTAGCCCGCTCGGGGTTGCGCGTGCGTAGCGGCGCGCGTTGCTCGCTCGGGCCTGGTCATCGATCTCCGGGGCTGTTCGTGGCCCCAGCTGATCGGCGCGTTCGCTTGCGGCCGCGACGCGCGCTCGGGCCCGCTCGGCGGTCTCCGGGGCCGTTCGTGGCCCCGGCCGAGCGGCGCGTCTGGCTCGCGGTCGCGACGCGCGCTCGGACCCGCTCGGCGGTTTTCGGGGCCGTTCGTGGCCCCGGCCGCGCGGTCGGCGCGCCGGTGTATCTGAGTCTTTCTGCGGCGCTATGCGCCCGCGTCTCGCCCGACGGATGTTCGGTCGGACGGCATCCGGCGGGTGGAATGCCGGGAACGGTGCATCGAGGGGTGCATCGTTACAAGTCAATGCACCGTGCTACTAGGGAAGGTTAGTAGCTTACCGAAGATGAAGTCAAACCAAAGTACCAATTTGTTTTCTGGTACAGTTTTATCCAGTTCGTTCTGGTACAGGATAAAACAGGGTTTAAGCCTAATTCACGAGAAAGAAGAAGCAATGTAATTGAATAAATATATAATTCATATTTTATGCGAGATTGCAAGGAAACTACACAGTCGAGATTGAAAAGGAAACGGATATCAATGTGTCGCCGCAAAATGTGATAGATACGCAGTAAACATCAGCTACCAGTAACATCATATCATTATTCTAATTTCCTCTTCAATAATGTAACTATTATGTGCAACATGTGTTACGTTCCACTTATATTATGGAATGGGAAATTAGAATATTGTTGTGATGTTACTAGTTGCTGTTCACTATCGTTTCTTACCGTCTTGTAACATACAAGCCATAACTTCGCTATGCGTGAAGTCATCGTAATCTTCCACGTCAAATCCAAGATTCCCGAAAGTTACTTCCAGTCTCTTGGCGTCCAATGATGAACCCTCCCGTTGGGAAAAATTTGTAAAGTCAAATCTCTCGTGATTGAAGATTATGCACTTGCCGCGATTTTTGTGATTCATGTTATAGCAATCTGCGTCCTTTGATACCGCCGTGTATACAACGGGTCCTTTGATGGTACTGAATAAGAAAAGGCGGAAAGAAACGGCGTTAAACGTTATCAATTAAAATATAAAACGTAATAAAAAATCTACAATTGAACGGAACACAATTGAAAATATGATCGATAATTGGAAAACGACATGTAACAGTAGTGAAATTAAATAGTTTATTTGTAAGTATTTAATGTTTTTCGATTACACGTTTATTAAAAATTGATTTTTTTATTTAATTCTAAATTAATATTATTTTCGCAGTAATATTTTTATTTCGTTACACTTTGTTTAGTTATTTCTCAATTTAATATCGTCATAAAAAGCCATCGAATTGCACCTCTTAGCTTCAGATCTGACCTATAAATTAATAATGCCTTTCCTTACCAAGTAGGATCTTTGTCTTTCGTTACTGGGACTGTGACTCTAGCGTCGATTGTGTCTATTTTTTTTCTCATTAGCTTGGGCTTGGGATGTTTCCGCGACAGCGAAACTGGCCGTAAAACTATCATACTGCTCTGCTGATATCTAAGAAAATTAACATTTTGCATCGGAAAAGAATTATATTCTAATTTTGCCACATTGTAAATTGCCAGAAAGATGTACACAAGATAAACGTAAATTTCAACTTTGTAAAAAAAAATCTGTAAAATTGAACTCACTAATTCTGATATTGTTTCGAGAAGAATTTCCGCGACCGGGGGCGGGGACAGCTGTGCGCGAAGTGCACCGCGGACCCGCAGTTCCAGCAGCGCTCCACCTGCCCCCACCGGTCGGTGCTCTCCGTTCCCCGGGCGATGGGTGGCGGGGCCTCCTTCGGCAGCTGCGGCAGCGGGCTTCAGCTCCTCTCCTGTCGAACCTCGCTCGCGGTTCGCGGCAGGGACGGCGGCTGGCGGGCGGCCGTCTCCGGCGGGGGCTCTTCTCGGCCCGCGGACCCCCCTCCGTCTGGGTGCCCGCGTCCTTGTAGCGCGTGGTCCGGCGCACCTCACTCGGCTCCGTCTGTGTCGCGGCGTCCTGGACGCGGGCCCCCGGGCGGTCCGCCTGGTGCCCCGGCTCCTGCGGGGGCTCGGCGCGGTCTGCGTCTCGGCTTCCCGTGACTCCGGCCAGTCGGAAATGGCCACATGGCCGGGACCGTCGGGCCCGCTCAGCTGGCGGACCATCTCCCCCGGGGAGGGCCTCCCAGAACCCGGGGTACTCCTGCAGTATCCACCGGTACAACGGGCCCCACCTCCGGTTGAAGGTGGCGCGGTCCTCCATCCTGTCGCGACGCCTCCCCCGGCGTTCTCTCGCCCGGTGACTTCGGCGGCGCGGGTGCGCGGCACGCTGTGGCTCTCGCTCTGCTATCACGGCGTCTATGGGACAAAGGGCTCGTTGTAGGGTTTGAGGTCCTTGACATGCACCTTGCCCGCGAGGGTCCCCGCCCGATCCACCAGCTCACGACCGTACGCGACAAGATCTTCGCGATGGTGTAGGGGCCGTGGAATTTGGTCGCCAGTTTCGCGGAGACATGCTGAGCCGCGGACGACAGTACACGCTGCCGCTTCAGCACAGGCGCGCCGATCTCGTATTGTCGGTCTCTTCTCCCTTTGTTGTACTGACGCGCCTGGGCCTCCCGCGCGGCCTCCAATTTTTCCGTCACCCATGCTTGCAGCGTGCGCATGCGCTCCATGCGTTGGCCCCAATCACCCGGTTCCAACAGCTCGACCTCGGTCGCCGCCGCCCCTGTGGGGTCGGCCAGGCCCACCGGGTCCGGTTCCCTCCCGAAATTCAGAAAGGCGGGCGTCGTTCGGAGGGAGATATGGTACGCGGAATTATAGGCGAAGCGGAACTCGGCCAGGTGGAGGTCCCACTCCCGGTGATCTCGCTCCAGGAACGCGGTGATCATTGTTTTAAGGACGCGGTTCACCCGCTCGACTGGGTTAGCCTGCGGGTGGTACGGCGGAATCGTCGAGTGGCTAATACCGTACTGGGCCGCGAGGGCCCCGATCTCCCTATTAATAAATTCCGTTCCGTTATCCGTCAACAGGACTCGCGGCGCGCCCCAGCGGAAAACGACAAGCTCCTCCATCGCCTCGCGTATCTTCTTGCCCGTGGCTTAACGGAGGGGACAGAATTCGATCCACTTGGTGGACAAATCTTGTAACACCAAGAGATACGCGTACCCGCTCTTACTCGTCGGCAATGGTCCCATTATATCGGCCGCGACTACGGTCCACGGAGCCTCGACCACCCTCCGCCCTATTAACCCGACCGGCACGGCTTATTCGACCTTCGTTCGTTGGCAGGTGTCGCACCGGCGTACGTATTCGGCGACATCGCGAAACATGCGCGGCCAGTGATACCGCGCAGCGAGCCGCTGATAGGTTTTCTCGACGCCGAAGTGGCCCGCAGGTGGGGTGTCGTGACTCACGAGGTCTCTCCGCGACGCGTCCGGCACCACCAGCTTCCACTGGTCGAGATCCTCGACCACTTCCGAGATTACCGCCCGTGGTCTCCGGGTATATAAGTGTTCGTCGGTGATCCTCCACCGCGGGTATCGACGCGGATTTTCCTCGACCGCGGCCGCCCGTGTGTCGTACCACCCGTCGCCCGTGATCGCGACCGCGCACCATTCCTCCTCCGTCTCGCCCACTCGCGACAGGGCGTCGGGCACGTGGTGAAGCGCGCCCTTCCGATGCTCGATGGCGTAGTCGCACTCGAGCAGCTCCAACGCCCACCGCGCCAACCACCCAGTCGGATTACGCAGGTTGTGCAGCCATCGGAGGCTGCTGTGATCGGTGACCACGGTAAATTTATACCCCTCCAGATACGGGCGAAACTTTCGAATGGACCAGATCACGGCGAGACATTCCTGTTCCGTGGTGGAATAATTCCGCTCCGCGTCCGACAGCGAGCGACTCGCGAAGGCGATCACACGCTCCATCCCCTCGATATTCTGGGTTAAAACGGCCCCCAGTCCCACGGTACTCGCGTCCGTCTGCACGGAGAACGGCACCTCAAAGTCGGGGCACGACAGCACGGGCGGGGAAATTAAACGGGATTTTATGTTATCGAAGGCGTCCTCCTGTTCCAACCCCCACTCTCAGCACCGGTTTTTCTTTAGTAGTCGCGTCAGGGCCTCCAGAAGCGTCGCGCAGTCCGGTATGAATCGCCGATACCACGAGGCCATTCCGATAAATCGTCGTAATTGTTTGACGTTACGCGGGGCCGGATATTCCACGATAGCGACCGTCTTTTCCGGATCCACCCGTAACCCGTCGTGTTGCACGAGAAACCCAAGATATTTCACTTGCGACCGGCAGAATTTGCTTTTATCCGGGTTAATGTAAGGCCGGCCTCGTGGATGCGACTAAATACTCGGCGTAGCCAGGCCAGGTGCTCGTCAAAGGTTTTAGTGACGATCACGATGTCGTCAAGATAGGCAAACGCGTGCGGCTCCATTTCGGGCCCGATCAGCCGGTTGAGCAAACGCTGGAAGGTACCGGGCGCTCCGGTCAGCCCGTACGGCATCCGCGTGAAATGGAAGAGCCTCTTCCCCGGCACGGTAAACGCGGTCAGCTCGCAACTGTTCCGTTCTAACGGAATTTGAAAATACGCTTGACTTAAGTCAATAGTCGAGATGTATCGGGCCGACCTTAGTTTGTCGAGAATCGCGTTCATATACGGCAACGGGTACGCGTCCTTCTTCGACACGCTGTTCAGCCGGCGAAAATCTAAACAGAACCGATACGTGCCGTTCGGTTTCTTAATCATAACAATCGGTGTTGACCACGCACTTCGCGACGGCTCGATTATCCCGGCTTCCAACATCTTGTCGACCTCGTAAATGGCCTCGCGGATCTTGGGCGATACCGGATAATACCGTTGTTTATTCGGCGCGTGATCCCCTACGTCAATCCGGTGTTCCGCGAGCGTTGTCGCCCTGGGGCGCTGGGGGTCCCCCTCGATCTCGCTTTTCAGGAGTTCCGACAGGCGGGCTTGCTGCCCCGCCGAGAGCGCGCATAGCCCGACGCACGTGAGTGGAGCTACCCTCGTTCCGTACCGCGCCCCGTCCCCCCGCGCCGCTGGGTCGGCGGGATCGCCCGCGTCCGCGACACGCGCCCCGTCCTCCGGCGCGGCCACCCCCCCGTCCCTCGGCGGCGCCGGCACCACGCTCGCCACGGTCCCGGTGGCGGCGCTCTCGAAGGGCCGCCCGCCCGCGGACTCATCCGTGAACCGCCACGTGCCCGAGGCGTAGTCCACGACCAGGCCAAAGGCCCGCAAAAAATCCATCCCGAGGATGCACGGCAACGCCAAGGTGGGCAGAGCGTGCACGCGCATCCCCCGAGTGCGCCCTTCCACCGTCACGGGCGCCTCCACCTCCCCCGCATGGTTTGGTTGGTCGCGGTGGTCACGCGCATGATGTAAGGATACAAGGTGTAGCGTTGCGCATAATGGCGGCCGATGAATAAGAGAGCCAATCACATTGTGTCCAGGATGCAGCGCC